TTAAAGACTTTGTTTGCTCCAAATCATCTCTCAGTTCTGGGCTCAGCTTTTGGAAACAGTAAGACAGTGATTATCTCTCTTATCCACGCTGTTACACCTCTCCCCTGAGAATGAGCACAAAGTCAATTATCTCCTTAAATGGGGGAAAGAGAAGGGGTAGAAAAAAACTAGTATATAGGTCAGGATATCAAAATATGATCACACCACATCGAGACCAGCAGTTGGCGCAATGACTATGTCACTGGACTCCCACGTAGTCGACTGTGGTTCGAGTCCTGGACCCGGTGGCTTAAACTCACGCCGGGCGCATGTGCATGCGTGCCCAAGATCCTGAGAGGAGAATGGAGGAGAAGGGATTGAGGTGTGGCCATCCCCCCTGGGGGGTGACTTCTCGCTTTCTATCTCTCTGTCTCTCTCTGTCTGTCTGGCGAACGCACGTGCCCTATAGCAAAAACCTCTCCAAAAAAAAAAAATATATATATATATATATGACCACACCACATTAACAAATGATGTTGAGAAAAGTTGGTTATGTAGTTGGAAAATAATCAGATTGGCTCTACACCTCACTGTCATATCAAAATGCACATTTAGATAAATGCAGTTCATTTTTCATTTTTCATTTGAATACATATAGAAGAAAATACTAGCTTTCTTTTTATTTACACTCAGTTAAAATTTGATTTTTTGGTCTATAGTTCTGTGAGTTTGAACATGCATAAAATCTTGTAACTATCACAAACAAAATTCAGAACAATCCCACCAACTTAGCATCAACTCATAGTGTCTTTTTGTGGCCACACCTGCTCCCATCCCTAAACCCTGGCAACCACCAATTAGTTCTCTGTCTCTGAGGTTTTGACCCTTCCAGATGTAATGAAAATGGAAATATACAGTAGGAAACCTTCTAAGGTTGAGTTATTTCACTCAGCAGATTGCATTTGAGATTAGTCTATGTTGTTGTGCACAGCAGTAGTATGTTCCTGTTTATTACCGAGTGGATGAACCATGATTTGTTTATCCATTTACCCACTGAAGGACAGTTGAGTGGGACAATTATAATAATATTGATATAAATATTTGTGGACTGATTTTTGTATGAACGTAATTTTTCATTTCTCTAGCCAAATATCTAGAAATGGGATTTCTAGATCACGTGGTACATATGAAGACTCATCAAACATTCATATAAAATGCATATTACAAAAAATCTACACAAGGATTTCAAAATTTATTTGCACCAAAATAAACTTGTAGTTTAATTCCAGTTTTCCATGGACTATTTAAAGTTTCCATATATGTTTAACTTTAGAAGGATCTACCAAGCTGTTTTCTTTTTCTTTTTTTTTTTCTTTTTGGAGAGGTTTTTTACTATAGGGTGCGTGCGCTTGCCAGACAGACAGAGAGAGACAGAGAGACAGAAAGCGAGAAATCACCCCCCCCCGGGGGTGGGGGTGGCCACGCCGCAATCGCTTCTCCTCCATTCTCCTCTTGGGATCTTGAGCATGCACGCACATGCGCCCGGCGTGAGTTTTAAGCCACTGGGTCCGGGACGCGAACCGCGGTCGACTACGTGGGAGTCCAGTGACATAGCCATTATGCTAACTGCTGGTCCCCTACCAAGCTGTTTTCTAGTGTGGGTGTTAACATTTTATATTCCCACTAGGAATGTAGGAAAGTTCCGTTTGCTCCCTATCTTCGCCAGCATCTGTTACTGTCAATTTTTTTTTGGGGGGGGAATTTCATGTTGTTCTTATTTTAGTCACTTTAATAGGTGTGTAGTGGAATTTCATTGTAGCAGTTTGTATTCCCCTGACAAATGTTACTGAGCACATCTTCATGTTTTTATTTACCATCCATATATTTTCTTTAATAAAGTGCTTTATCTTCTGCTCTTTTTTTTTTTTAATTTGTCATAAGGTGCGTGTGCTCACAGAAGAGAGATAGGGGTAGGGGGATGAAAAAGCAACCACCAGGGAAGATGACCACACCATAATTACTTCTTCTCCATTCTCCTATCAGGATTTTGGGTACACACACGTGCGTGCGGACACACATACACACACACACACATACACAAGCCCAATGTGAATCTTAAGCCACTGGATCTGGGACTTGAACAGCACAGCTGGCCCTGTGAGATCTGGCCACCTTAACTACTATATCACGAGCTGGTCCAATCTTTTTCTAATTTTTAAATTTTGTTTGTTTGTGTTCTTATTGTTCAGCTCTAAAAGTTCTTATGTATTCTAATTATAAGCCCTTTATAGGATATATGATTTATAAATATTTTCTCTCAGTCTCTGGCTTTTCTTTTCATTTTTAAAAGAAAGTGCTGATTCTACAATTTAACAAAGTTTGAATATTTATTTACCTACTTTAAAGGGCATTCTAAGCGCGGGACCAGCAGATGACATAATGATTTTGTCGCTGGACTCCCACATAGTCAACCGCAGTTAGAATCTGGACTCAGTGGCTTAAAACTCATGCCAGGCATGTATGCATGCATGCCCAAAATCCCAAGAGAAGAATGAAGGCGAAGGGAATGTGATGTGTCCATCCCCTCTGGGGGTGATTTCTCACTTTCTGTCTATCTCCCTGGTGAACACACATGCACTATAGCAAAAATCTAAAAAAAGGGGGTGGGGAGGGGACTTTCTAAGCATAACATAATGAAAGAAGCAAAAAATAAGGAAGCCATAAATGTAATTTAAAATTTTATTTAACTTTATTCATTATTATTATTATTTTAATATTTCCAGAGAGAGACACCAAGAAAGAGAGAGAGAGGGAGAGTGAGAAAGTAAGCCTCTAGTCTGGAACTCAAACCACGGTCAACCATGAGGCCGTCCAACCCCCTTAACCACCACACCACCTGCTGGTCTGCAATAAATGTAATTTTAAAAAAAAAAATTAATCACTAAAAAATTAAAAGTAACAAAATTAGAGAAAAATTTTTTAAAAAACATAACCCATAGAAGATTAATACCTTTAACATAAAAAGAGCCCATAGCAAGAAATTTAGTAATAAAAACACCAAAACTTTAATTAAAAAAGAATGGATAAAGGACATTCTGAGTCATTTCAATGAAGAAACTCAAAGAGCAGATAAATGAATATTTCAAAAGTTCAACCATACAATTAATTAAAGAAATGAAAAAGAAAACAACAGTGAAGTGTCATTTTGCTTACCAAATTGGAAAATATTTTTAATGATGGTAATAATAGTCAATCTCAGAAGTAAGGGCACAACTAGTAGAAAGATAAATTGAATTCCTGGAAGGTAGTTTGGCATTGTGTATAAAAGGACCTTAAAACTGTTCATACCCTCTGACCTGCTACTTCCTATTCTAGAAAATTCTCATAAAAGCCAAAGAAGGCAGAAAAACAGGGAATACTCAGAGTTGGACAAGGGGTGCACATATGCATCACCACATCACCATCCTTAAGTTTTATTTATTTATTATTTTATTTATTTGTTTATTTTAGGTTTTGGATATACGGCACATGCACACACCAGAGGGAAAAAGAGACAGGCAGAGACAGAGAATGGGAAAGTGAAAAATCACCCCACAGTCGGGGATGGCCTCGCCACAATCTCTTCTCTTCCATTCTCCTCTCAAGATTTTGGGCATCCATGCATACATGCCCAGTGTGAGTTTCAAGTCACCAGGTCCAGGACTTGAGCCATAGTCAGCCATGGGGGAATCCAGTGCCTTAACCACCATGCCACCTGCTGGCTCCCTTAAGCCCCATTTAATACATACTATTTCCTTACTGTAAATAGCAACAAGATTTTCCTACCTCGACACAACTTTGAGCAGGAGCTGTTGCTGGCTCGGCAACCTACTGCACCATTCACGTGCTCAGATATTCGCGCTTTTCCCACACGGTTCCTCCAGGACCCCTCTGCACTGGGCTGCAGCTGCAGGAAAAGCTGAATGTGTCCAGTCCCTACTGGAGTTGGGCATGGATGGCAACCTGAGGGACATCAACGAGAGCACACCCCTGGCCTATGCCCTGTACTGCGGTCACACAGCATGTGTCAAACTCCTCTCTCAAGAGAACAGGTGAGTACACAGAAAACATTCTTTTTTTTTCTGCCTCTCAAAGATTTATAAAATTAATGACATTTTCAAAATTGCCAATGTGCAAACACAGAACAATTTAATATAATTATATCATATAATGACTATGAAATAATATGAAATCATCCTATAATTGCTTACATTATATAATTAATGTGTTTGCCATAATCAAACACAGAGCAAAATGTTCTGATCTGTGTGGAGCAGGAAGCCTGAATCCTTCAGCCTGGTCTTAATCTCTTTCCTTTTTCTCCCTTTTCTCCTCCCTTTATGCCATATCCCTAAAGCTACCTTTTGCCTATATCAATGATTCTCAAACTTTTTGTTCTCGTGATGCTTTTACACTCTAAAAAGGCATCAAGAACCCCAAGGAGCTTTAGTTTATGGAAGTTACACCTGTCAGCATTCATGCCATTAGAAATTGAAGATGAGAAGAAAAATTATGGTAGAGAGTATGTATACACACAGGAGAAGGAAAGAGAAAAGGGAATAGAGAAGCACCCTTGGTCAGGTCTCATCTTCCCACAATCCCCTTCCCCAGTACCCCAGCTCCCTGGGATCCTGGATGTTTGTGCTACACAGAAGCCCAGTGTATTCTGACTGATGTAAGAGTCTGAAGGCTGCCATATTGCTTCCAGCCTCATAGCACACTTAAACATTACCACCGTGCTACAGTGGCTGGGTCCTGAGAAATTTTTAATTAAATATTTAGGTATTAACATAATAACTAACCGATTACATTTACATGTTAGCATTAAGACCAGATTTTTAAGTAAAATTTTTTGAAATTTCTATTTTACAAAACAAAGAAGTTTAATGAGAAGAGCAGCATTGTTTTACATTTTTGGCAAATCTCTTTGATATCTTAATGGAAGCTTCATAGAATACAGATGTGTTCCCAGATCTTCTGCATTCAATCTGCTGTTGATATGATGCTTTGATCCAAGTATATGAAGATAATCTGGTCTCACATACATATATAGTTGGAATAGGAAGGACTATTTCCATAATTGCCAGATGGTTACAAATATTTATCTTTAATACTACACCAAAACAAGTAATAGTTTCCTAAAGTTTCATTGCAATGGGAACTCTATCACTGTATTGATGGATTTTTTTTATACTGTTACATTCAAGCTCTTACACTTTGAATGGGTCTTATAGCCATGCATGATTTTACAATATAACAACTAGGATTGGCCATTTGGAAACTTTTGGTTCACTTTGTTATGAAGATCTTTCAAATGCCACATTTCATTATGCAATATCAAAAAAGTCACATCTGGGGCCAGCCAGTGATATGGTTTGACTGTGTGGTTCCAGTCCTGGACCCAGCAGCTTGTGTGTGCCCAAAATCCCAAAAGGAGGGAGAGATGGGGGAGAAAGGATTGTTGTATGACTATCCCCTATGAGGAGTGCTTTCTTACTCTTTTTTTCTCTCTCTGTCTCTCTATGGCAAGTACATGCACTCTCTGACATTTTTTTAAAATTACATTTGTTAATACAGTACAGATCTCATCAGAAGGGAACCAGCAGTTAGCGTAATGGCTATGTCGCTGGACTCCCACGTAGTCGACCACGGTTCGCATCCCGGACCCGGTGGTTTAAAACTCACGCCGGGTACGTGTGCGTGCGTGCCCAAGATCCCGAGAGGAGAATGGAGGAGAAGGGGTTGCAGCGTGACCATCCCCCCGGGGGTGATTTCTAGCTTTCTGTCTCTATGTCTCTCTCTGTCTTTCTGGCGAGCACACACGCCCTGTAGCGAAAATCTCTCCAAAAAAAAAAAAAAAGATCTCATCAGAAAACCTTTTATGTATTGAGATACTGTCAAGCTTATAGTGTGAATACAAGTTCTTGAAAATTCAAATTTCTGCTTGAAAGCTGGGCTTTGTCAATATCAGTAATGATCGTCTGATGTTTATCTTGAAATGACAGGTTTACATGTTCGTTTTTACTATATTTTTATTGTACGTATTTAAGGTGTACAACATGATGTCTTGATGTACATATACATAGTGAAATGATTACTAGTCAAGCCAATTAACATATCCCTCATTTCATATAGTTACCTTTGTGTATGTGTGTGTGTGTGTGTGTGTGTGTGTTTGGTGGGAACATCAAATTCTCTCTTAGCAAATTTCCAGAATACAACACAATATCATTAACTATAATCTTCATACTGTACTTTAAGTTGCTAGACTTGTTTATCCCACTTAACTGAACTTTGTATTCTTTGACCTACATTCCCCACCCTACCCTCATTTTGGTAACCACCATTCTATGTTTCTACGCATTTCACTTGGGGTTTTTTGTTTGTTTGTTTTGAGTTTTTGTTTGTTTGTTTGTTTAAGTTTTTGCAATAGGGCACATACACTTGCCAGAGAGAGATAGAGAGAGGGAAAGTGAGAAATCGTCCCCCAAGGGGACTGGTCATGCTGCCATCCCTTCTCCTCCAGTCTCCTGGAATTTTAGGCACACATGCACAAGCATCCAGAGTGAATTTCAACCTCTAAATCTGGGACTCAAAAGTGAACGATGGGGAACCAGCAGGTAGCGTAATGGCTATGTTGCTGGACTCCCACTTAGTCGACCGAAGTTCGCATCCCAGACCCGGTGGCTTAAAACGCACGCCGGGCGCGTGTGCGTGCATGCCCAAGATCCCAAGAGGAGAATGGAGGAGAAGGGATTGCGGCGTGACCATCCCCCCTGGGGGGGGTGATTTCTTGCTTTCTGTCTCTATGTCTCTATCTGTCTGTCTGGTGAGTGCACACGCCCTATAGCAAAAAAAAAAAAAAACTCTCCAAAAAAAAAGTGAAATATGATCTTCACTTTGTTCATTTTTGAGAAGATGCATGCAAATACTGAATTCAACATAACCATAGTTTGTCTATAAATCATAAAAATGGCATCCCATGAATAAGTGTCCATTTCTATTAAAGATATTTTGTAGTTTAGTCAACTGGACTAGGGAGAAATGTTTATATGTTGAAATATTCACTTTGTATGCTAAATAATGTGATAGACTGTATAAAAGAAAATGAAATTAAAAATAAATTTAAAAAAGTAAGTGCCCAATTCAGTTGGTAACAAACTATCGCACACGTGGTTTGCATGAGATAACCATCATACCTCAGTATATGGTAAAATTGCTTAATAGTACTTCTCATTTTATCCTAAAATGTGTAGTGGAGGATCAATATTTAATCAAATTAATAATTTTACAGCCTTGGGACAGCCCGTAGCTTGGTGTTAAGTGGCTAGACTCCACATGGCTGACTGCATAGTTGGAATCCTGGATCCAGCTCATTGAAAAACACAGCAGGCGTGTGTGTGTCTGGGGGGTGGGGGGTGGCGGGCAAAATCCAGACAGGAATCAGAGAGGGAGGAGAAGGGATTATGGCATGACCATACCCCAATGGAGGGTGCTTTCTCGCTTTCTCTCTCTCCCTCTCTTTTCCTCTCTCCAGCACACACACACACTCTCTAGAGCAAATTTAAAGAAAAAGATAACCTTACTGCCTCAGCAAGAATATTACTAAATTAAATGACACTGACGGTTTTTTTATGCTAGTGCATGGATGCCTCTGTTGTCCTGATTTATACTAAGGCGCCCACAGTTTTACCTGCCACTAACAGTGTAAATGATATACTGGAATTATTATGAATATAGTTTTATCTCAGAAAATCTCTGAGTCTTGAGGGCCCCTCCCCTAGCATTTAGTTGGCCATACTTTGAGGCACATGGCCTAAATCACAACCTATAAGAGAAGGAGATAGACTAGAAGATGCGGAGACAGCATTAATTAGCACAGGGACAAAGTCTGCATAGAGAAACTTGAAAGAATGTCAGTGATTCACCAGGGTTCTCTCTGGTAGTACTGGGAATCCAGGGCTGTGTTCAATATTTCAAAACCTTAATGAAAGGTAAAATGAAGACAAAACTAAATGGTGAGAATAAAGATTCAGTTGCACACTGTGTGACCTGTACAAAAAGCATTCATTATATCCATCCAAAATAAGCAGCAATTTTTTTAAAATTACAGATTACACTATCTCACTCCAAAGAGCTATGTTGCAATCTGACTCAGAGCATGCTCATGGGTCAGATTCCATTGCTAATCATACTGCAGAAAGCATAAAGTTAATTGTGGTCTCAAAAGAGAATAACACAGTCCCAGCCACGGAAACTTGTACTGGACCAGGCTACTTGACAGCTGGAGGCCACATGGTAGACTGGGATTTGATTCCCAGCCCAATCTAAAAAACTGAATGTAGTGGCATGGGACTATGGTCCCGGCTACCCAGAGGCTGAGGCAGGAGGATTGAGATGCAGCAAGTCTCTGTCTAAGACATAACACACACACACACACACACACACACACACACACACACACACACACCACAAAAAGGAAGAGAAAGAAGGTAAAATGAGAGAGACTAGTACAGAATTTTCTAAGGAATAAAAGCAGACCAGTGCTCAGGGAAACTCTCGACATGAGCTGGCCAACTGTGACCTTTTCTTTTAGAGCTGCCCCTGTGTGCGTGTGTGTGTGTGTGTGTGTGTGTGTGTGTGTGTGTGTTTGGCATGGCTCACTTTCTTCTGCTGCCACGCCCATTCTCTGGCACACACATTTCTTCTTTTCCAGCTGAAGCCTGGGCTAAATCTTCTTTCCTTGGTTGCCTTTAGAACATTTTTTTTTGTTTTCTTTTCTCTTCTTTTTAGATTTAATCACTGTACATCTTTGCAGCATACAAAATGAATCCTTTACCATACTTTTTTAAAAGTATTTTTCAACAGGAAATTTAGTAAAAACTGAGAAGAAAACAAATAACACACAACAGCATAAAATGGGCAAGATCCTTGGCGTGGATGATGTCCTCACTCTGTCCAGATTCCCTGGGACCCCTTTCAGAGAAGATTCCCTGGGACCCCTTTCAGAGAAAGCCCAAAACCGCATTCTCCCCACCTCTGCAACCTCCACCTTCCTCTACTAGTTGAAGCCTGCAATCAGACCTTGCCCTTTACCTCTCTGGTTTACAGCTTAACCTCTTACTGCTTGATCTTGAGAAGGGAGAACAGGAACAACTTCAAGCTGTTTTCACCTTTATTTATCTAGGAGTACATTTTTTTATCTATTCATCCATGATCAAGAGAGACAAAAAGAAAGAAAAAAAAAGAGACAGGCGAGACAGGGGTCTTTCGAGTGGCAGTGTACCCCCAGCTTCAGCCAGCTCCTGCTCAAGGGCCTGTGTGTACTTGGTGTGTTCAGGGTTTCAGGACACAAACCCAGAACCCTCTTACATGGGTCAGCCACACAGAGCGTGCAGGTACTGCTGCACTTGCACTGCCATCCAACCCGTTAGGGAAAAACTGCGTTGTTGGTTTTTGTTTTTGTTTTTGTTTTTTAAGTATTTAATGCATGAATTTGATTTTTTTTTCTCTAACAGTAGGATAAGGCAGAACCAGGAAATCCCATATCTCATAATATAATGAAGAAACAATACTTTCAGAAAATTATCCTTAGATGATGTCAGAATAGGAAATACACAGTAAACTGTAAAAGCATAACCCCTAAGGGAGCAAGAAGAATCTAAGAAATGGATTAATTGGACAGAGCACTGACCACGGCAAGAAACCACTTCTGAAAGGGTGTGGTAAGCGCTTGTACATAGCCTTTAACTTGAGAGAGCTTGGTGGAAAGTTGGGGGAATCTATAATCTCTGACAGCCTGATCAAGCTGATAGAGGTGGGTTTGAGGAGTATATTTTGGTTACTGAGGCTGTCTCCACTTCCCGTTCTCACACCCTTGCTGTTTTATATCCCCATAGGACAGAGCCTGCTCGACCCCCACCTTCTCAGAACAGTAGACCCCAGAAGAAGGAGGGCCAGTTCAGCATGCTCAACCAAATCTTCTCCAAAAACAAGAAAGAGGAGCAGAGAGCCTATCAGAAGGATCACAGCAGGGACCGATACAGGGGGGAAGACACCTCGGAAGTTGATGACATCATCACCACCTTTGACAACATCGTGGATACCAACTGCCAAGAACAGTCTGGTGATCACGTGGCTATGGTCGACTTTAAAAAGAGGACCTCAGAGAATTCAAAATATCTCTTACCGGAAAAGAAACCTCTGGCCCGAAAGGGGCTTCCACCAATTAGAACGCAGAGTCTCCCACCCATCACCCTGGGCAATCACTTCCTGACCGCCTCCCAGGGGACCACTTCCCATGCTGGCCCCAGCTCTGGTCCTCATACCACCCAGCAATCTCAGAAAAGTCGAAGTGAGCAGGATTTATTAAATAACAGAACTGGCTGCCAGACATTGCTTGAAAACCCCTGGAGGGGTGATTCTAATCAGGTGTTCTCCTACAAAGCTTGGACTGTGTCTTCTTCAGATAAACTGCTGGACAGATTGTTCACTGGCCGGCCTGGTCACCAAGAGGTCTTGGGGCCACCACACCTTCCTCATCTACATAATCCTTCATCAGGTAAAGTCCCTGATTTCTTCTTCATTCTTGCAGGCTCAATGTAGGGACTGGAGTGACAGTAGCCCAGAAGGCAGGGAAGAAACAAAACGGGTCATAGGGCTATTCTCCCTGAGTTCCAGGCAATGGGAACATTCTTCTTTCCTTCGTGAGAATAATCATAGATTAAGAGCTTGTGCCTTCTAGTCTTCCCACCAAATATGTGTAATGTCTATCAGACCAAAGCAGG